GGTTCAAGCGTATCACAAAAAATCCCATCGTTCTACGATCTGTTCTGCAGGAAAACTGGTACCAGCTGAGCAAAACACCTCAAGAATTCATGGAATCATCAAGGTAGAATAAGGTAGAGCTTTAACTGCTGGCCGACACCTTTAGCAAAGTCAATCTTTATCGTCACAAGTTCGCTGTCATGTCCACCACATGCACAGGAAGAGATGACCACCATTGGGAAGGCCTACCAAGTAGGACGCTATTTATCGAACCGCTTATCCCCAATCTTCAGGAACTCTTTCCAGACCAATTCAGGAAACGATGGGGTTGACAGTGCTTATGACTTCGCCACCCATTTGAATCCTGAGCTCTTACCATCAGTTTAGGCAAAAATCTTTCATTGATGACGATAAACAAACTTCGACAGCTCTTTCTCCGAAATGTTCCAAAACTTTCGTCCTGTACTCAATCACATGCCGGATAGGATTGCCTCGCAAAATAAGATGATCCAGACAAGGAAGACTTCCGACCGACTTGATATCTTCAGGAGAAGACACGTTGTTATCTCTTACATCCAAGAACTCCAGTGAATATAATTTATGCAGTCCTGCAATAACTTGATAAATCGAGCCACAGAAATGAAATCACTAAAATAACTTCTCTACTAAAAATTTTGTAGACAAATCGAAACAACATCCCCTCAATATTTTACTCTGAAAAGTAGAGGCAATGGAAGTCGCCCAGGTAGTGAGATACGCACTGCCACTGCCAACAACGACCACCCACTTGTACGGATGCTGATGGCTCTTTTTCCTGAAAGTGTTCAGAAACACCTGGCGATTTCATTTTTCGGCATCTGCCAACATCATTTTGCAAACGAAAAGAGTAGAAGAGCGCAAAGCATTGTTTCCTCAGTGACGGAATGGAATCCTTCATATCCAGCTTCAGGACAGCGACGGCTGACTCCATTCGTGCTAGCCGCAAAATAAATAAATGCCAGATACGTTGTTTCTTGAAAGAGACAGCCATCAACAGCACTACTAGCTGATGGTTGCTGTTGACGTTTGCTACTACTCGAAGCATTTCCGAGTGCCTTCGCCTCATACAGAGAACGAAGGGTATTTTGACGTTGAGAGATACCAATACACTGCAGTAAACTTGTAAATAACAAGAGGAATAATGTAGAAGTACCGTTCAAAGAAGATATTTTGTTGCCGGCAAGGTGCAACTGCTTCACATTACCCAGTTTGGTATACCAAGAATCAAGGCTTTCAATTGCGTTATATGAGAGGTCGAGTTCAGTTAACATTGTAAGATGCTGCATGTGGTCTCCAA